TCAGTTCTTGATTGATTGTTCACGCTTACAGTGGCTTTCAGACAGCATACATAAAAACAAATTTCGTCTCCCCCCTCCTCTTTTCAAAAAATAGATGGACTAGTCCTGGCAAACAGCCAATCGTTGCACGTGACGCAAACGTTATTTTATATAAATAAATAAATATGCCGTTTTCAAAATAAATTTATGCAAACCGACACACCTGATGATGACCGTTTGAGTTATGGTCGAAACGTCGTGAGAATTTTTATTGTTTTATATATATTTTGTTATTTTGTTGTTTCTCTTCAATGTGACTTTACCGAAAAAACTAAGAATAGGACCTGTTTAGTCTGGGGGAGTGATTCAATCTCCGGATCATTCTCATCGAGCCGATCTTTGTGTCTCCCTGGTTGGGTGAAGCCAACCACCTCCACAAGCTGCGTCGTGAACGGCAAGTTTTTAGATTCTAACCACTGCTTTGTCGCTCAGGGTGCTGCCGGATGATGTCGTTGCCTCTCGTCAACGGCCAACTTTGAAGGCTTTGAAGGTTACTCCACAGTGGCTCGGCGAGCTTGTGGGAACCACCGCTAACGGTAGTTGTATCTGGAGGTTAACTGTCAGCAGGAGCAGAACACGCGTGCCGACAATGGACACTCAATTGATTTAGATGATGCTGAAGTTCCGTGCAAAACTAGCTACTACTGGCCAAGACTAATTAGAGAATCTATCGAAATTGAGAGAAATAAAAAAAAAAAATTTTAACCGTTCGGATAGCTACAGACTTAGTGCTGCTTGGAAGCGAATCGTCAAGTAATACTTTGTTGAAATGCACGCCTATGCAGGCCACCATACTTCAATAGGGATTCATAATAAAGGTTTTTGGGTTAGATCGCGTTATTTATAAATGTGTCGTAACCCTCCACCACCCGACACGGCCAATCAGCAGACAAAAGTGTCACGTTGACAAAAGACAAAATAGTTCACTACTTTAGCCCACCGGTGTGTTGTTGAAGAGTGAATCCACAACATTTACAGGGATTACCGTTGGTTGGGGCTATTTTAGTACACACAATCGACAGGAAGTACAAGAAAAATGGGCTTACATAATTTGCATGCATAATGTACATTGATTCTCATACGAATAGGCCAAACTGGCAATGGATACCCATTGTAATTTATAGGCATTCATTAACACCGCCCCCTTCGCACGTGAGGGACTCACAAGTGACGTCATCACATCTATCCCTCTGTTTAAGGAAGGAAACAGGAGGACGTCTTCACGAGTGTGGCTGTCACCTGATGAAGCTGGTTGCAATTATTGGGGAAATGTCACGGTACTCAGATCGTAAATGTTGTGGATTTACTCTCCAACACACAGCCGGGGTGCTGTACTAGAATACTAGACTATACACTACACTATACACTACACTTTACACTACACTATACACTACACTTTACACTACACTATACACCTCACTATACACTATACACTACACTATACACTACACTATACAATACACTATGCACTACACTATACACTACTATACACTACACTTTACACTACACTATACACTACACTATACACTGCTATACACTACACTATACACTACACTATACACTACACTATACACTACACTATACACTACATTATACACTAGTATACACTACACACAACTATACACTATACACTACAATACACTACTATACACTACATTATACACTGCACTATACACTACTATACACTACACTATACACTACTATACACTACACTATACACTACACTATACACCACTATACTATACACTACTATACACTACTATACACTACACTACTATACACTACTATACACTACACACTACTATATACTACACTACTGTACACTACACTACTATACACTACACACTACTATACACTACACTATACACTACACTACACACTAGTGCTGTACTAATAACGATTTGTCACGTTCTATTTACGTGACAAACCTTACCAATTGGCTGTGTCGAGTGGTGGCGGGTTTAACGACACAACATTTGAACCTCGTGGCCGGGACCCCGGGGGGCTCCCGAATATACGGAAGACAAAATCGTAATTAATAATAATTAATAATAAAAATTAAAAATTTTGGCGACTCCGTCGCACCGCGCACACCAACGCCGCGATCCACCTGGCCCCTGTCATTGCCATGGCCTCGTCGCAGCAGCAGCAGCAGTAGCAGCGAGGACGAATTGGCGCAGAAGAAACACAAAAAACTTTGATTCGCGCATCGCGTGGAGCTCGTCGAGAGGAACATTGTTTAAGTTTCATAGTTTCATAATTTATTTTGGGGCATAGGCCCTGTGAGCCGTTCGGCTCTTGAATCGCGTGCAAACGCAACAATGAAAAAAAACTAAAACACTAACAAGAAAAACATCTTGAAGCGGCTTTGTGTGTGACTGTGCGTAAACAGAAAATCCATGGAAAAAAAAAAAACCTCAAAATATTCCTGAAATAGCACCGTACACCACCAAAGCTGTGTGCAAAAATCCCAGTGGGATGCAAGTCATTAACAACAACAACAACCACAAGACAACTAAGATTAAGGCCATCAGTCTAACTCCGCACTACAATAAACAAAAACATGGCCAAACTAATAAACGTTTTAGAAATCACCAAAAAATAAAGCCATAAATGCAACGTTACAGTGATCACAGGAACTGTGACTGAATTCTAGATTTGAAGCTTTCGTGACTGCAAGGATCCATACTCTTTGGTTCTATTCGGTAAAGTCACGTAGTGGGTAAAAAAATAAAATAACAAAAATCACGACGTTTCGGCCACAACACAAGCGGCCTTAATTTATTTATTTTAAAAACGGTGAATTTATTTATTTTTATTTTTTAATTTATGCAAACCGACACACCTGATGACGACCGTTTGTCTTACGGTCGAAACGTCGTGAGAATTTTTATTGTTTTATAGATACTTTATTATTTCATTGTTTCCCTTCAACGTGGTGACTTTACCGAAAGAGCTAAGAATAAAAAAATCCAACGTAGCTAAAAGCGAAACCCTTTAAGGTGAGGTCGGCACGCAGTCACGTGGCGTGCCGACATCACGGGCCGAGTCGCTGTTGTTGACACCGATATTAGGAAGTCAATGGGAGCTAAGATGCGCTTTTACATCATCATCATCATAAATCTCGATTTAAAGCTTTCGTGACTGCAAGGATTCATCTTCTTTGGTTCTTTCGGTTAAGTCACCACACCACGTAGAATGAGAATAAAATAATGAATTGATAAAATAAAATAATAACACAATAATATTCTCACGACGTTTCGGCCACAACGCAAGCGGCCTTCATCAGGTGAAGGGACGAGACTGTCCAGTGCTGTCCTCCAGACAGTCTCGTCCCTTCACCTGATGAAGGCCGCTTGTGTTGTGGCCGAAACGTCGTGAGAATTTTATTGCGTTATTTTATTGTATCAATTTATTATTTAATTCTCATTCTACGTGGTGACTTTACCGAAAGAACCAAAGATCATCATCATAATTATTATTATTTATAATCTCGACTTACAAACTCATTTCTTCATGGAACTGGTGCTTGTTGATGTTGTTTGTAGTTTGTAGATTGTTGTCATTCCCCTGCCACCTGCGATTAGCCGCAGTTCGCTAGGTACGGTGGTGCGAATGAGGTTCAATAAACACGTGTACATACGGGACAGACCCTGCGGGTGCCATGGGTTAACTGCTGTTGTGCCAGGCTAGGTGCAGGTCACGGGACAGACCCTGCAGGTGCCATGGGTTGACCTGCTGCTGTGCCAGGCTAGGTGCAGGGGGAGGATGTCACGTGACAGACCCTGTGGGTACCATGGGTTGTGCTGCTGTGCCAGGCTAGGTGCAGGAGGAGGTCACGGGACAGACCCTGCAGGTGCCCATGGGTTGTACTTCTGCTGTGCCAGGCTAGGTGCAGGGGGAGGATGTCACGTGACAGACCCTGTGGGTACCATGGGTTGTATTGCTGTGCCAGGCTAGGTGCAGGAGGAAGTCACAGAACAGACCCTGCAGGTGCCATGGGTTGGCTGACTGAGATGAGCGGTAGATGCACCACCACCACAACCACCTGTGCCCCCCTACTGTGCCAACTCGCTGCGCTTTATCCGCCCGGTGCTCCGCTCGTTGTTGTGAGCGTCGCCCCTCCGCCCTCCGTTGTTGTTGCTGCAGTGGCGACTGCCTCCGACTGCCCAGTAGCCTCACTGTGCACCTAGCCTGGCACTGCCCAGTAGCAGCAGCGTCATTCACGAGACTCCAAAAAAGACAAAGATCCCCCGTGTAGCCTGTAACAGACTGCAGGGGCAAGTGGCTTTTAGCGAGCAGCGTCCTATGAATTCATAATAAAGGTGTTTGGGTTAGATCGCGTTATTTACAAATGTGTCGTAACCCTCCACCACCCGACACGGCCAAACAGTAAAAAAAATGGGTCACGTTTACAAAGGACAAAATAGTTCACCACTTTAGCCCACCGGTGTGTTGTTGAAGAGCGAATCAACATCATTTAAAATTTGAGTACTTTGACGTTTCGCTGGTAATTACATCCAGCATCAATCGGGCAATTCGCCAGAATGGTAAAGCCCTCGCTATGAAGTCCACCGGTACTCTGGCACACACAGAGCGGGTGGGTGGCCAGCACCACGCCCGCCCGGCCGCCTTTGTCTTCCCAAAGTGGCGACGTTTACTACGCCAGACGCACACCATGGAACCAGGTAAACACTTACCCCCTCCCTTCCACCCTGGCGCGTTGAGGCTCCAAATGACTCGGGGTACAAACTGAAAGAGGAAGTGGAAGAACGCTCGCTCGCTATCTCTCTGTGTCTCTGTCTCTCTCTGTGTCTCTGTTTGTCTCTCTGTCTCTCTGTGTGTCTCTCTGTGTCTCTGTTTCTCTGTGTCTCTGTCTCTCTGTGTCTCTGTCTCTGTTTGTCTCTCTGTGTCTCTGTCTCTCTGTTTGTCTCTCTGTGTCTCTGTCTCTGTTTGTCTCTCTGTGTCTCTGTCTCTCTGTGTCTCTGTCTCTCTGTTTGTCTCTCTGTGTCTCTGTCTCTCGCTATATTCCGAGGCAGAGACAGAGGCAGGTGAAGGGTTAGAGGTGAGAGAGAGACAGCGGGATGGAGACACCTGGAGCTTAAACTCCAGCCGAGGAAGAGGAACTTCGCTCGTAGCTTTGTGCTCTCATTTGTGGTGAGTCCCCGTGTGGGAATCTGTGGTGAGTTTGTGTGTGTCTGTGTGGACCTCTGTGAGTCTATAGGTCTCTCTTGTGTGTGGGGATTTGTGATAATAATCTGTGGTGAGTTTGTGTGTGTCTGTGGTGAGGTTGTGTGTGTCTGTGTGGACCTCTGTGAGTCTATAGGTCTCTCTCGTGTGTGCGGGGATTTGTGATAATAATCTGTGGTGAGTTTGTGTGTGTCTGGTGAGTTTTCGTGTGTCTGTGTGGATCTCTGTGAGTCTATGGGTCTCTCTCTGGTGTGTGTGGGGATTTGTGATAATAATCTGTGGTGAGTTTGTGTGTGTCTGTGGTGAGTTTGTGTGTGTCTGTGTGGACCTCTGTGAGTCTATGGGTCTCTCTTGTGTGTGGGGATTTGTGATAATAATCTGTGGTGAGTTTGTGTGTGTCTGTGGTGAGTTTGTGTGTGTCTGTGTGGACCTCTGTGAGTCTATAGGTCTCTCTCGTGTGTGCGGGGATTTGTGATAATAATCTGTGGTGAGTTTGTGTGTGTCTGTGGTGAGTTTGTGTGTGTCTGTGGTGAGTTTTCGTGTGTCTGTGTGGATCTCTGTGAGTCTATGGGTCTCTGGTGTGTGTGGGGATTTGTGATAATAATCTGTGGTGAGTTTGTGTGTGTCTGTGGTGAGTTTGTGTGTGTCTGTGTGGACCTCTGTGAGTCTATAGGTCTCTCTCGTGTGTGCGGGGATTTGTGATAATAATCTGTGGTGAGTTTGTGTGTGTCTGTGGTGAGTTTGTGTGTGTCTGTGTGGACCTCTGTGAGTCTATGGGTCTCTCTCTGTGTGTGTGGGGATTTGTGATAATAATCTGTGGTGAGTTTGTGGGTGTCTGTGGTGAGTTTGTGTGTGTCTGTGTGGACCTCTGTGAGTCTATAGGTCTCTCTCGTGTGTGCGGGGATTTGTGATAATAATCTGTGGTGAGTTTGTGTGTGTCTGTGGTGAGTTTGTGTGTGTCTGTGTGGACCTCTGTGAGTCTATGGGTCTCTCTGTGTGTGTGTGGGGATTTGTGATAATAATCTGTGGTGAGTTTGTGGGTGTCTGTGGTGAGTTTGTGTGTGTCTGTGTGGACCTCTGTGAGTCTATGGGTCTCTCTCTGGTGTGTGGGTATTTGTAGTTAGTCTGTGTGGGAATCTGTGATGGGAATCTGGTGAGCTTGTGCGGGTCTGTGGGTGTCTTGAGTCTCTAAACGGGCGCGGCACAGGCTAAAGTAGAGATGGAGTGACGTGGTACAGGAGGATGTGGAGCTGAGTGGACTTGCCGATGACTGGTACCAGCGGTGTCAAGATCGGCCTCTGTGGAGGAGGCTCGTGAAGGACGCTACTGGGCAGTTTGAGGCAGTCGCCCTCCAGCAACAACGAAGGGCGGAGGAGCGACGCTCACAACAATGAGCGGTCTGCCGGGTGGCTAAAGCACAGCAAGTTGGCACAGTAGGGGGCACAGGTGGTGCATCAGCCAATCATCTCAGTCAGTCGACCCGTGGCACCTGGGTCTGCCCCGTGACCTCCTGCCAGCGGGCGTTCGACACTTCACGTGGCCTCAGGGTGCACATAGCCTGGCACAAGCGTCGTGGTGACGTCACCGCCACTTAGTGGCGAATGGCGGTTGTTGTTGTTGTTGTGTGTCTGGATCTTTGTGCGAGTCTGTGGGTCTCTGTGCAAGTCTGTGGGACTCACAGTCTATGTGTCTCTGTGTATGTCTGTCGGTATCTGTGTTTGTCTATTGGTATCTGTCTGAGTCTGTGGGTCTCTATGCGATTCTGTCGGTCTATATGTGTGTCTGTGGATCTGTGTGTGTGTTTGGGTCTTTGTGTGAGTCTGTGGGTCTCTGTGTTTATGGGTTTCTGTGTGTGTGCGCGCGTCTGTCTATGGGTCTCTGTGCGAGTCTGTGCGTCTCTGTATGAGTCTGTAGGTCTCTGTGTGAGTCTGTGCGTCTCTGTATGAGTCTGTGGGTCTCTGTGTGAGTCTGTGCGTCTCTGTATGAGTCTGTGGGTCTCTGTGTGAGCCTGTAGGTCTCTGTGTGAGGATGTGGGTCTCTGTGTGAGTCTGCGGGTCTCTGTGGGTCTCTCTATGCATCTGTAGGTCTCTGTGTGAGTCTGTGGGTCTCTGTGCGAGTCTGTGGGTCTCTGTATAGTCTGTGGGTCTCTGTGTGAGACCGTAGGTCTCTGTGTGAGGATGTGGGTCTCTGTGTGAGTCTGTAGGTCTCTGTGTGAGTCTGTGGGGTCTCTGTGTGAGTCTGTGGGTCTCTGTATAGTCAGTGGGTCTCTGTGTGAGACCGTAGGTCTCTGTGTGAGGATGTGGGTCTCTATGTGAGTCTGTAGGTCTCTGTGTGAGGATGTGGGTCTCTGTGTGAGTATTGTTATAGTGCAGTGTGTAGTCGTGTAGTGTACAGTGTAGTGTAGTGTATAGTAGTGTAGTGTATAGTAGTGTAGTGTATAGTAGTGTAGTATTGTAGTGTATAGTAGTGTAGTGTATAGTAGTGTAGTGTATAGTAGTGTATAGTAGTGTAGTATTATAGTGTATAGTAGTGTAGTGTATAGTAGTAGTCTTTAGTGTGCAGTGTATAATAGTGTATAGAGTATTGTTATAGTGCAGTGTGTAGTCGTGTAGTGCACAGTGTAGTGTATAGTAATGTATAGTAGTGTAGTATTGTAGTGTATAGTAGTGTATACTAGTGTATAGTAGTGTAGTGTATAGTAGTGTAGTATTGTAGTGTATAGTAGTGTAGTGTGTAGTGTATAGTAGTGTAATGTATAGTAGTGTATAGTATAGTATTGTAGTGTATAGTAGTGTAGAATTGTAGTGTATAGTAGTGTGTAGTGTATAGTAGTGTAATGTATAGTAGTGTATAGTATAGTAGTGTAGTGTATAGTGTATAGTATTGTAGTGTATAGTAGTGTAGAATTGTAGTGTATAGTAGTGTAGTGTATAGTAGTGTAGTGTATAGTAATGTATTGTAGTGTAGTATTGTAGTGTATAGTAGTGTAGTATTGTAGTGTATAGTAGTGTAGTGTATAGTAGTGTAGTGTATAGTAATGTATTGTAGTGTAGTATTGTAGTGTATAGTAGTGTAGTAGTGTAGTGTATAGTAGTGTAGTGTATAGTAGTGTAGTGTATAGTGTAGTATTGTAGTGTATAGTAGTGTAGTATTGTAGTGTATAGTAGTGTAGTATTGTAGTGTATAGTAGTGTAGTGTATAGTGTAGTGTAGTATTGTAGTGTATAGTGTAGTATTGTAGTGTAGTATTGCAGTGTATAGTAGTGGTGTATAGTAGTGTAGTATTGTAGTGTATAGTTGTGTAGTATTGTAGTGTATAGTAGTGTAGTATTGTAGTAATAGTAGTGTAGTATTGTAGTGTATAGTAGTGTATAGTAGTGTATAGTTGTGTAGTATTGTAGTGTATAGTAGTGTAGTATTGTAGTGTATAGTTGTGTAGTATTGTAGTGTATAGTAGTGTAGTATTGTAGTGTATAGTAGTGTAGTGTATAGTAGTGTAGTATTGTAGTGTATAGTTGTGTAGTATTGTAGTGTATTCATAATAAAGGTTTTTGGGTTAGATCGCGTTTATTTATAAATGTGTCGTAACCCTCCACCACCATCAGGAGTTAAACGGATGAAATTGATATCTTCACTGGCGTTCCTCAAAAGGTGCAGAGATTCAAAGGTAATACCAAACGCAGTTAAAATAACACATCACATAAAGTCTTCTAAAGCTAACCAAATACTACACAAAGCTAGCGAATTATTATTAATAGAGAGAATACAGCACAATAGGAGTGAATTATCTTACATTTCGGAATCGCTAAAGCAGTTACACTTAGATATAAGCAATAGTGTATCTATGCATTATTGGAATATAATCGATAACATAACACAACAATCGGCTGATAATGTGTTTAAACTAGCACAAACTAACCAAATTAATAAATTTTCTAGACTACATAATAAACAAATCCCTACTGAAAACCAAAAATGTAAAAACAAAACTGTACTGAACTTGACCAACACTGTATTAACCGGTGACATGGTCTCTATCCTTTCTAAAGGCCTTAACTTTGCCATTACCCCACGCACAATTCCAGTGGATGAGATAATTGCTGAGGTAGAATCAGCAGTTAGGCTCCTTCCACATAATGAGGCAGAGATGACTAGACATGAGGTTGCTAAAATAATTGAGAATAGCAAAGTTCCAAAAGTAAATATTAGCTCTAACGAGGCAAAAGCCTTAAGAGAGCTGCGTGTAAATAAGGATATCCAAATCCTAGCAGCTGATAAAGGCCGCACTACTGTAGTGATGTCACGAGCCGATTATGATAATAAAATGAGAAATTTACTAGAGGAAAGTACCTACATTAAAATTAAACGAGATCCAACTAATACTTTAGAACGTAAGACCACTGCAATAATTGCAAATTCATTAATCCCTAAAAATGAGCAATACCTAATTAAGCCAAGGGCCTCAAAACCACCTAGACTCTATGGGCTACCAAAGATTCATAAAATCGGCATCCCATTACGACCCATAGTCAGTACAATTGGCTCTGCCACATATCAATTGGCAAAATATATAACCAAACAAATACAGCCCTACATCGGTAAGACATCTTCATTCATAAAAAATTCAGAACATCTTGTGAATGTGATTAAAGATATTAAACTTACTCCTGATGATATTCTGGTAAGTTTTGATGTTATTTCTCTATTCACTAAGGTTCCAGTGGACGAATCGCTTAAATTACTTGATACACTAGTAAAGAATACCGGTTTACAAAAAGATATTCTGAAACTTGCTGGCCATTGTTTAAATAACACTTACTTCTTATGGAGAGGGGATTTCTTTAAACAAAAGGAAGGAGCAGCAATGGGTTCTCCTTTATCCCCTGCTATAGCAAATTTGTACATAGAAAACTTTGAAATAAGAGCACTTGCCTCGAGCACATTAAAACCATCCTTTTGGTTTAGGTATGTGGATGACACTTTGGTTGTCTGGCCACATGGTAAAGATACACTTAATGATTTTCTAAATCATCTCAATGCACAAAACCCGGCCATCCAGTTCACCATGGAAATGGAGGTGAATAACACACTCCCATTCCTAGATATTTTGCTTGGACATGGCCTAAACGGTAAAATAACACACAGCGTTTACAGAAAGCAAACGCACACTGATGCCTATCTGAATGCAGAATCACATCATCATCCAGCTCAAAAATCCTCTCTTATCAAGACGCTCGTACATCGGGCGAAAACAGTGTCAGATGGTGAGAGTCTAGTGAGAGAGATTAAACACGTTAAAGACGCACTACGACAGAATGGCTATAATAATGCTCAAATTAACAGAGCACTGAATGTCAAATCACGATCGCAAAGCAATACTACTGAAAGCGACCAGATTGTTAAAACAATAAAAAATCCATATATCTCAGGAGTAACTGACAAATTAGCCCGTGTTCTGCAAAAGCAAAACATTACAGTAAGATTTGGTACAGTACACAAAATTCAAAAACTAGTATCTTGCACTAAAGATGCATTACCTGAACTATCAACAGAAGGTGTATATCGGATTAATTGTTCATGTGGCAGCTGCTACATTGGGCAGACGGGACGTAACATCAGCGTAAGACTAAAAGAACATCAGAGAAATATTAAATTATCTCAAACACAACTGTCGGCAGTGGCAGAACATGCTTGTCAACAAGGACACTCAATTGATTTTGACAATGTTGCAGTGGTGTGTAAAACGAATTATTACTGGCAAAGACTAATTAGAGAATCCATTGAAATTGAGAGGAACAAAAATAACTTTAATCGCTCTGACAGCTACCGGCTTAGTGCGGCCTGGAAGCGTATTATTAAATAATACACATTACATTTAAAGAATTACTAATCTACAACTCATTACTAATCATAACCAATGACTGATTACTAATCGATTATATAATTACAATACCCCCCCCTCCGCCTCTAATCACTGCACCTGATATGAGTTAAGTGATGACGTCACCCTGCTGCTCTATATAAAGACCGGGAGCAAGCGAGGGCTTTACCATTCTGGCGAATTGCTTGATGATGCTGGATGTATTTACCAGCGAAACGTCGTACTCAAACTGTAAATGTGGATTAACTCTTCAACACACCGGTGGGCTGAAGTAGTGAATTATTTGTCTTTTGTCAACGTGACACTTTTTTTTTGCTGATTGGCCATGTCGGGTGGTGGAGGGTTACGACACATTTATAAATAAACGCGATCTAACCCAAAAACCTTTATTATGAATAATATTGGTCGCGAAAGCCTACGTGTTAAACATTGTAGTGTATAGTAGTGTAGTATTGTAGTGTATAGTAGTGTAGTATTGTAGTGTTTTGTTGTGTAGTATTGTAGTGTATAGTAGTGTAGTATTATAGTGTATAGTAGTGTAGTGTATAGTAGGGGCAAGTGCTGTTAGTAGTGAGCAGAAGCACCTAACACAAAGATCCTCCGTGTAGCATCTATGAAGGACCAAACTGTAGATGACGGGATTTGTCGCCAGCACCACGCCCGACCGCCTTTGTCTCCCCAGTGGCGATGTTTGCACACCGCACCAGGTACTCATGTGAGGTTGAGTCGACCTAGGGGAGGCCCACGATTGGTTCAAATAATCGTCACCGGTGTTATCCGTGAGCGGAAATCGAACCCGGGTCGCCAGGTTCAAAGCGCAGCGCACTAACTGCGATACTACCGCTCCCCACAACAACCGCCATTTGCCACTAAGTGGCGGTGACGTCACCACGACGGTTGTGCCAGGCTATGTGCACCCTGAGGCCACGTGAAGTGTCGAACGCCCTCATTACAGGAGGTCACGGGGCAGACCCAGGTGCCACGGGTCGACTGACTGAGATGATTGGCTGATGCACCACCTGTGCCCCCTACTGTGCCAACCTGCTGTGCTTTAGCCACCCGGCAGACCGCTCATTGTTGTGAGCGTCGCTCCTCCGCCCTTCGTTGTTGCTGGAGGGCGACTGCCTCCAACTGCCCAGTAGCGTCCTTCACGAGCCTCCTCCACAGAGGCCGATCTTGACACCGCTGGTACCAGTCATCGGCAAGTCCACTCAGCTCCACATCCTCCTGTACCACGTCACTCCATCTCTACTTTAGCCTGTGCCGCGCCCGATTAGCCCCCTCTATCTGGCCGAACAAAAGCTGTTTGGGTATGTGGTGACTGGGCATGCTGGCTACATGTTCCAGCCAACGCAGCCTTGCCCGCCGGAGGAGCTCACCGATGGGACCTTGCCCAGATCTTTCAAGGATTTGTGAGCTCCTCACATAATCCAGCCTGGTTAAACCCAGGATGGATTGTAAGCAGACTAGCCTAAATGTTTCTAATCGTCGAAGATGCGCCATTAGGGGGGTCCACGTTTCGCAAGCATAGAGATGGGAGGGAATAACCGTGGCCGAGAAGACCTGAAGCTTTGTGTGGAGCGACAGACCAGGTAGCTTCCACACAGCGTTACGCAACCGATGAAAATATATTGCCACTCGACTGATTCGGAGTGAGACCTCTGCTGTCAAACTGGAGCCAGTCATAAGCACACTGCCCAGGTATGGGAAACTCTCCACTCTCTCCACAACTGCCCCATCACCGATTGGGAGTTGTTGGGGTGGAGTGTCCAATGGTACAAAATACCCAGGCAGGTGCTTAGTTATGGTGGGGCTGATGGTAGGCCCCATCTCTTAGTGGCACGCTCCAGTCTCAGCAGCAGCATCTCCAACTCCTCCTCTGAGTGAGCAGCAATTACCAGATCATCAGCATACATAGCGTGGTTGAGCAATAGGGAGTCATCCCTTGACTGCACCCGTGCATCGATCAACCTCCCATTATATCTATACCCAATGTAAATTCCTCCGGTACAGCTATTGATGGCTTCATGAACTACGTGGTCAAAATAGATGTTAAATAATGTGGGAGCCAGAGGACATCCCTGTCGCACCACAAGGTGTACAGGGAATGGCTCTGAATCCCGGCCACGTAATTTCAACCAGGCCCGCTCACCATCATGAAGATCCTTAATGATCGTGAGCAGATGGTCAGGAACTCTGAAAGCACAAACAACAACCCAGAGCTCAGGCCTACTGATGGTATCATAGGCCTTTACCAGGTCGATAAAGCAGAGATGTAGGTCTTTTTGGAATTCCGTACTCCTCTGCTGTTGCAGACGGACAGAAAATATAGCATCTGTGCAGGACCGCCCTTTCCTGAAACCGCATTGGGGCTCCGCAAGCCTCTCCTCAGCGTGCCTGGCAAGGCGATGTTGAATAATCCCTGCCAGGACCTTTTCCGGCACACTGAGGAATGAGATGCCCCTGTAGTTGTTACAGTCTGTGCGGTCCCCCTTCTTGAAGAGGGGGACCACCAGGTCATCCTTCCAATCCTGCGGAACCCGTCCAGTCGGCCAGACTGTTGTTATGATGTCATGTAGGGCAGTTTGTGCACAAACCCCACCCGCCCTCAGCATTTCGCTTGGGAGATCATCTCTGCCTGGTGCCTTTCCTGGTCTCAGACTCTGGATTGCCTTCAGAACTTCCTCAACAGATGGCACCTCAGCCAGACAATCACAGGGGGTGACTTCTTCCAATATTTGAGACACCGCAGACTCAGCAGGGTCATCCCCACTTTGTGCCACGATGTTTTCCTGAGTGAGGGATGTCCCCTCCCTCAGGACCTCACAGAAATGCTCAGCAAATTTGCAAACCTGTTCCTGGGGGTCGGCATTGGATCACCATTCTTTGCTCAAATGATGGTAATAGGTTGGGCGCTGCAGGTAACTTTTTTGATGGAGTTAAAGAGTGATTGGTGATCACACACAACAACAACAACACAGACACACAGACAAACACAGAGACACACACAGACACTCACAAACACAAAGACAAAGATCCCCCGTATAGCCTTAACAGACTGTAGGGGCAAGTGCTGTTAGCGAGCACCTATAAAGGCCGGCACGGCACATGAGGGGGTGGTTGGCCAACACCACGCCCGGCCAACTTTGTTTCCCTAGCAGCGATGTTGACACATCGCACCAGGTACTCATTTGAGGCTGAGTCGACCTAGGGGAGACCCAGGACCGGTTCAGATAATCGTCACTGGTGTTGGCCGTGAGCGGAAATCGAACCCGGGTCGCCAGGTTCATAGCGCAGTGTAGCGCTGACCGCTACACTGCTGCTCCCCACACAAACACACAGACACACACACACAGACACACACACAGACACACACACACAGACACACACACAGACACACACACACAGACACACACAGACACACATACACAGACACACACACAGACACACACACACAGACATACACACAGACACACACACACAGACACACACAGACACACACACACAGACACACACACCGACACACACACACACAGACACACACACAGACACACACACACACAGACACACATACACACACACAGACACACATACACAGACACACACAGACACACATACACAGACACACACACAGACACACACACATACACACACACACAGACACACATACACAGACACACACACAGACACACAACACAGACACACATACACAGACACACACACACAGACACACACACACATACACACACAGAGACACACACACACAGACACACACACAGACACGCATACACAGACACACACAGACACACACACATACACACACACACAGACACACACACAGACACACACACATACACACACACACAGACACACACAGACACACACACACACACGGGGTGACCCTCACGGAACCGTGCGAAATGAAAACACAGCAACAACTCAAGGGGCCCCTTTTGCCATCTCGTGGTGTGCGCGGTGCGTTGCTCAGGACAAACGAACTGAAGATGCCCATCGGATCATCATCATCATCATGATAAGAAGAAGCGGAAGTTGGTGGTTGGTGGCGGTGGTGGTCTCCGAACGGGGGAAGATGCTCGCGGCCGTGCTGGCGCTGTGCTGCTGTGCCAGATTGGTGGCTGCGGTAAGAGAAGGGGGGAGGGAGGGGTTGATGATCATGATAATGATGATGGTCACTGCTATCAGTAGGTGACCATCATCATCATTGAGGGCGCCACGGTGGCGAGAGAAATGTTAATCTCCTCTCCTGGTGTACAGGAGGTCGTGGCTTCGATCCCGTGACCGTGACGATGCTTGCTGTTGCTGCTGTATATTTGAAGTCTGCGTCTCTCTCTCTCACCGTGGTAGTCACTGCATGGATTTTAGCCACATCTGGTAAGATAAAAGTAATTTTATTTTTCATAGATTTTAGTTTAGAACTCCTCGGCGGTTCCACAATCCAGTGGATATCTGAACTATAAACGAAACTATTTTTTAGTTTACCAGGTGGAAGGCCCCACTGAGCCATGTAGCTCTTTATCAGAAGCGGTACCCGGTCATCACATTTAATGATAGTAGCTCAACCAAGTGGCTGATATCATCATCGTGTTGAAACGTATCACAGCAGTCAAACACTCTAGCGCATAGAGATACACAGAGGCCCATAGAGATACATACAGACCCATATAGATACATAGAGACCCATATAGATACATAGAGCCATATAGATACACAGAGACCCATATAGATACACAGAGACCCATATAGATACATAGAGACCCATATAGATATATAGAGCCATATAGATACACAGAGACCCATATAGATACACAGAGACCCATATAGATACATAGAGACCCATATAGATACATACAGACCCATATAGATACACAGAGACCCATAGAGATACATACAGACCCATATAGATACATACAGACCCATATAGATACACAGAGACCCATAGAGATACATACAGACCCATATAGATACATAGAGACCCATATAGATACATACAGACACATATAGATACATAGATACCCATAGAGATACATACATACCCATATGGATACATAAATACCCGTATAGATACACAGAGACCCATGTAGATGTTGTAGAGGAGTAAAATGGGGACGTGACGTCATGTGTACCATCCAGTGCGATGACGTCATGGAACGTGACGTTTTGTGCGCTGGGCGGCTCGATTACGTCATGTCTCCTCTAGTATTTAAGGGGGACCCCGTGATGAAAGCGGGGTCACTGTGGGAACGGGTCGAGTGAGAAGGGTGGAAAGGGAACCAGGGGTAGAGAGGGATCGAGTGGAGAGTCTGGAGTGAAGTTGGTGGTAGCCGCAGGAGGTGCTGCTCTTCCCGGTCGGTGGGGTTGGCAAATTCCTGCATCCGACTCGAGAGAGAGAGAGACCGGAGCTAGCCGGGCTGGACCAGGACTTAGTGTAGGACCCCTAGCCCCTGGGAGTCGTCACACCCTTCGTGTATTGTAATAATTTCAATAAACCCTTGGCGAAAGCCCTTACCTTCCAAGCCGTATCCGAGTCCTCGTCGGGAACTCCTCAACATAGATACACAGAGATCCATAGAGATACATAGAGACCCATATAGATACATAGAGACCCATATAGATACACAGAGACCCATATAGATACATAGAGACCCATAGAGATACACAGATACCCATATAGATACATAGAGAGCCATATAGATACACAGAGATCCATGTAGATACATCGAGACCCATGTAGATACATAGGGACCCATATAGTTACAGAGAGCCATAGAGATACATAGAGACCCGTATAGATACACAGAGACCCATATAGATACATAGAGACCCATAGAGATACATATAGACCCATAGAGATACATAGAGACCCATAGAGATACACAGAGACCCATAGAGATACATAGAGACCCATAGAGATACATAGAGACCCATATAGATACATGGAGACCCATAGAGATACACAGAGACCCATATAGACACATAGAGACCCATATAGATACACAGAGACCCATATAGATACACAGAGACCCATATAGATACACAGAGATCCATATATATACATGGAGACCCATATAGACCCATAGGAACCCATATAGATACATAGTGATCCATATAGATACATAGAGACCCATATAGATACACAGATACCCATATAGATACACAGAGACCCACAGAAACCCACAGGGACCCACAGAGATCCAGAGACTCATCGTTGCCCTCAGTCCCTCGGGGTTTTGAGGATGACGTCCATCAGGGTTTGTTGGTGGCTCAGGAGTCAAATTCTGGATCCGCAGATCTTTGGGCATTGAGGACACCGCGGTGGCGGTCCCAGCTGGAAGTGGAAATCCGCGGTGCCAGGTCGGCTTCCTCTTCCTTTCTTCTTTGGCGGCGATCCGCTTCGCCACTGAGACTTTTGGTCTCCGAGTGGAGCCCGCGGCCTGGTGGTGGATGCAGCGGCGCCACCCTCAGGAGAGGTTCGGCAGCCCGCTGCTCCTGCCAGAATCGGGGGCTGATTTTTCCGCGCTCCAGGGAGGACGCTGAGGGCATCCTTGAAACCGCTGCCTTTTGTCCTCCCCTCATCCGCTGACCATCGGAGAGCCTTCGGAGAAAAGGATCTGGCCCGGGTGAAGGCGCTTCTCAGGCGTGCGGATGCAGTGAGTGGCCGGTCCGTCGGAGTTCTTTTTTGTTGTTGTTGTTGTTGTTGCTTCAATGCCGGTGGTGTCAGCTTGGAAGAGGACACTCGCCTCGGTGCAGCGATCCTGCCACTCGATCCCCTGGAATTGGCGAAGGCAGCGCTGATGGAGGCGCTCGAGCGTAGTGACGTGGCCCCCGGTAGCGTGTCCACGTTTCGCCGCAGCCTAAAGGAGCGTCGGGACGACGACGGCCCTCGGTAAACGAGGAGCTTTTTTCTCGTCCTTCGGAGATCTCCGTCATTGAAGACGGCTCCTGGCGCAGTTTGTAGAAGGTGGCGCTGCCGCACCGGACTCTGCGTTGGATCTCCTCGTCGACGAGAGATGGCTACCGACGTGAGAGAATTACTCCACGTATTGAAATGCCTCTCCATCGATAGTTGGGGAGGGGGGGGGGTTGTTTGGCTCGTTGTTCGATGGCGGTTCGTGGAGGACCTTGGTTTTGGTGCTGTTCCAGGTTAAGCCAAGTCTCCTGTATGCAGAGTTGAACACATGGAGGGTCGTCTGGATGTCCCACGCAGAGTGAGCCACCACGCAGAAGTCGTCCGCCAACTGCAGGTCACGGATGTCCTTTGTGGGCCAGCTTCTTCTTTGCCCGAAAACGTCCGAGGTTGAAGAACTTCCCTTCCAGACGGTTTACCGGATGCTGACACCAGATGGAAGGCCGCCGTCGACAAGGAGGGTGACCATCGCCGTACGTAGCTGGTGAATGAGCTGGGGGCGATCACGCAATGCTGTCTGACGCCCGTTCGGATTTGAAAGGCATCCGCATCAGATCCCCCACTCGGTACAGTGGCAGTCGAAGACGGCGGAGGATACTCCAAAGGGCTTCCCGGTTGAGGGAGTCAAGTGCGTTCGTTAGGTCGATGAATGCCGAGAACAGTTCTTGACGCCGCTCGTGACACTTATTTTTAATCTGTCGGGCCGCGAAAACCAAATCTGCAGTGCCCTGGGATGTTCAGAATCCGCTCCGTGCCTCCGACAGGACCTTCTCAGCAAACAGGACTCAGGCGATTGACCAGCATGCGGGCCAGGCTCTGTCCTGCAATGGACAACAGGGAGATCCCCCCCTGTAGTTTCCACATCAAGACTTGTCACCCCTTCTTGAAGATTGTTACGACGGCCGCCGGGGAGGTCTTCTTCGTGCCAGATCCGGATGGATCAGCTTGTGGAGCCTTGAAGTGAGCAGTTGGCTGCCAACTTTGAAGACTTCAGCTGGGATGCCGTCCGGACTGCATGCTCTGTTGGACTTCGTCTGCTTGATGGCCACGCCCCAGCTCACCAGCAAGTGGTGGCTCGCTGAGGTGGTGCTCTGTGGGATGTTGCGGTAACGGCTCGGAGGGTTTCCCTGTTCGAAACTGCTCTTTGCAGCATTTGATGGATTGCATGTGTCTGTGTGTGTGTCTGTATCTGTATGTGAGCGGTAGTGTAGCGGTTAGCGCTGCGCTATGAACCTGGCGACCCGGGTTCGATTCCCACTCACGGCCAGCACCAGTGACGATTATCTGAACCCGTCGCGGGCCTCCCCTACGTCGACTCAGCCTCAAATGAGTACCTGGTATAGTGTAATAAGCATAGCCACTTGGGAGACAAAGGCGGTCGGGCGTGGTGCTGGCCACCCACCCCTCGTGTGCCACAATGCCGGTAGCCTTCATAGGTGCTGCTGCTCGCTAACAGCACTTGCCCCAACAGTCTGTTACAGACTACATGGGGGATCTTCTTCTTTGTTTTTGCTTTAATGACGACAATGATGGAGTGTGACGACCTCATAACAACAAAGTTACATACTCACGTAAAGGTCTAATACAATGCACCCCTTTCCTGCCACCCACAGACACCAACAGAGTCTCCGTGTCTTCATGGATTCCACCACGTGGAAAAAACTGACATTTGCTGTGAGCTGTGCAAGCCAGGTAAGGGCAGAGCCAAAAACGAAATAGTGCAGTCACGGCATTAAAGTAAGCAGCGCTGTCGTAGACCAAAAACAGTTGCCGTTTTTGAGGCGTGCATTTGTGGACAACGGTGGCTAGGGAGATGTTGACCACCTCGCCTAGTGTGCAGGAAGTAGTGGGTTCGATTCCATGCCCCTGGCAATGCGCTGCTGCTGTGTATTTGAAGCCAGCGTCTCTCTCTCATCATGACCACGGTGGCTAGGAGATGTTAACTACCTCGCCTTGTATACAGGAGGTTGTGGCTTCGATTCCCTGACCCTGACGATGCGTTGCTGCTGTGTATTTGGAATTTGCGTCTCTCTCGATGCAGTCAGTTGCGTCGAGTTCCAGACACGATTCGCCGATAACCAAATTCGTGAATAACGAGGTGGATGACGATGATGATGATGTTTGTTTGTTTTGCACCTCTCGTCTCTTGCAGGGCAATACTTGATAAATGAATGCACGGAAAACAAAGGCCCCTCGACCTGTGGGGACTGTCCTAACGGATTCTACACGGCCGTAGCAAACTACCTATCAGGATGTTTGAAATGCAAGCCCTGTGAAAAAAGTAACAACCACTTCCCTTGTGTCTTTATCAATTAGGATTGGCGTTCCTCTAAATGTCTGATTTAATTATACGGAAGCGTATACTAGTGTAGTGTGTTGTAGTGTGTAGTAGTGTAGTGTCTATCAGTGTGTCGTAGTTTATAGTAGTGTAATGTGTAGTAGTGTGTTGTAGTGGGTAGTAGTGTAGTGTATAGTGGTGTAGTGTATAGTAGTGTAGTGTGTAGTAGTGTAGTGTGTAGTAGTGTATAGTAGTGTAGTGTGTAGTAATGTATAGTAGTGTATAGCAGTGTAGTGTATAGTAGTGTAGTGGTGTTGTGTATAGTAGTGTAGTGTATAGTAGTGTAGTGTATAGTGGTTTAGTGTATGGTGTAGTTTATAGTGTAGTGTATAGTGCAGTGTATAGTTTAGTGAATAGTGTAGTGTATGGTGCAGTGTAGTGTCGTGTATAGTAGTGGATGGTGTACTATGTCACAGTAACATCGCCACCTCCACGCCCACATGGAGGCCGCTCTCCAATCTTACATTAACATGCAAATTTCTCACATTAACATAACTAGCCCCGCCCAATTCTAGATTTGAAGCTTTCGTGACTGCAAGGATCCATACTCTTTGGTTCTATTCGGTAAAGTCACATAGGTAAAAAAATAAAACAACAAAAATCACGACGTTTCGGCCACAACACAAGCGGCCTTCATCAGGTGAAGGGACCAGACTGTCTCGAAGACTGCGCTGGAGTGAAACAGAGCCAAGCTCAGACCACGGCCTTTAAGCTGTGTGAGAGGGATTAAGGTGCCTTGACAAAGGAATTAGCATAAAAAATTAGCATTTAATTGGCGGACTTAGCATGATGAAAGGTGTAGAGAGGGTGAACATGCGGGTGCACATGCACCTGCATGTGCTGTGAAAGTTTGGGGTACCACTACTTGAAAAAATATACTGTACCATTGAAAATTAGTTTAATGTTTGGTTCGATTTAGAACATCTTTCCAATGGTTGCTTAATTTGAAACCATCTTCTCGGTTGAAATTGTGTCTGTGTTTGTAGATCTGAATTGCCTCGTGAACAAATCTCTGATAAAAACCCGTGGGTTTGCAAAGAACCTTGGTATCGGAGAAAATTATATCATGATCACCCACAGCGTTGTAACAGTGATCAGCTACGGCAGAAAAATTGGCGGACTTAGCATGCATGTGCACCCGCATGTTCACCCTCTCTACACCTTTCATCATGCTAAGTCCGCCAATTAAATGCAAATTTTTTTATGCTAATTCCTTTGTCAAGGCACCTTAATCCCTCTCACACAGCTTAAAGGCCGTGGTCTGAGCTTGGCTCTGTTTCACTCCAGCGCAATCTTCGAGACAGTCTGGTCCCTTCACCTGATGAAGGCCGCTTGTGTTGTGGCCGAAACGTCGTGATTTTTGTTGTTTCATTTTTTTACCTACGTGACTTTACCGAATAGAACCAAAGATTATAGCCCCGCCCACTTCGTTTATGACCCTTGGGCTACACCCATTTTGAACCTTTTCAAACAGTCTGCCTCAGCAGCTGTCCCCCTCTCTTTTCTTCCTGATGATGAACGCTTGTGTTGTGATCGAAACGTCGTGATATACTATTTGTATTTTATTTTTCTACCTATGTGACTTTACCGAAATAACCAAAGAGTATGGATTCCTGCAGTTACGAAAGCTTCAAATCAAGATTGTTAAAACCCCATAATACAGGTTTATTTTGGGTTAGATCATGTAATTATATAATTGTCGTTAAACCTGCCACTACCAGACACAGCCAATTAGTAAGGTTTTTTTACATAAACAGAACGTGCCAATTCGTTACTAGTACAGCAATAGTGTATGGCGGGGTGTATAGTAGTGTATACTATAGTGTATAGTAGTGTAGTGTATAGTAGTGTCATTAGTGTAGTGTATAGTAGTGTAGTGTATAGTAGTGTAGTGTATAGTAGTGTTATTAGTGTAGTCTATAGTAGTGTAGTGTATAGCAGTGTAGTGTATAGTAGTGTTATTAGTGTAGTGTATAGTGTATAGTATAGTAGTGTAGTGTATAGTGTGTGTAGTGTATGGTGTGTGTAGTGTATAGTAGTGTAGTGTATAGTAGTGTAGTGTATAGTGTGTGTAGTGTATAGTAGTGTAGTGTATAGTGTAGTGGGCTAGAACAGTATACCGTTGTGGTTTAGAGCCAAGCCACAACATTTACAATCTCAGTACCATGACATATAACGAGTAATTACAACCAGCTTCATCACGCAAGAGCCAGATTTGTGGAGAAGTCCTCCTGTTTCGTTCTTTAAATAGAAGTGTAGATGTGATGAACTGCGTGTGGTATTACCTGCGAGTTGTTATCTCCTTCGCCTGGTATGCAGGAGGTCGTAGGTTTGATCCCGTGGCCCTGATGACGCCTGCTGCAGTATATTTTCCGTCTGCGTCTCTCTCACTGTGGTGGTCACCACATGGATTTTTTTGTTTTTTCCCACCGTGTCTTCCTGCACAGATGAGGAAATTGTCCAGCCTTGCACCGGGAGGTCCGACACGCTGTGCCGATGTAAAGAAGGCTTCCACAAAGAAGACGAGTTCTGCACACGAGTTCCAAGCAATGCAACGCAAACTCCGACCGGTGCACCCAGCGGTAAAACGAACGCAGGCTGAGGTCCCCATGCTCAAGGTGGTTTAGTTAGATGTTGACTACATCGCCTGGTGTGCATGAGGTCGTGGGTTTGATCCCCAACCCTGATGCCTGTTGCCACGGTGTTAGTGTGATGCTAGCGCTTCTGATGTTCACAGTTGGCTAAGAACGTTGCAAAATAAGTTCAACACACATACATACACAGGTACCCAAAGACACCAATAGACCCACAGATATCCACACAGACACCCATAGAGACCCACATATTACCACAGTCGGCTACGTACGGTGCGAACGAAGTCCACCGCACGTACAAGCGTACACCCACTCACCCACCCACTCACCAACACCTCCGATTAGCACGGTCGGCTATGTGTGGTGCGGAAGCGGTTTCGGCGTTAATTTAATTTACCATGAGAGGCTTGGATAGCTGCAGTAGCAGCAGCAGCAGCAGAAGCAGCCCTTGTGTTGTTATGAAGACGTCGTTACTCACCGCACACACAGAGAGAAACGCAGCGACATGAACCAGCTGTAGCACTTGACGATACAAAAGTAATATTTACATTTTTAGTTTTTTCACTTCTGGTTTCCATTTCGGATGACGTACACACACACACACGCGCGTGCGTCACGATGTACACCACGTCATGTCACATGCATAATCAGAAATGGAACAGGAAGGCAAATTGATAATGTACGTCATCGTAAACTAAACGGAATTGGGAGACAAACTTACGACGTACATTCACGTATGTGCGTCATCAGACGTATCGGAACGGGAAGACAAACCGATGGACGTACACACACCACGTCACATACGGGAGTTGTTATTGTTGCTGCATTGAGATTCACCGATTGGCCGACCCGATGACACGGCTTTGACACGTTTAACTTTTGCAGCGGCTCCTAGATGATACGTACAGACAAAGATCACCTGTGTAGCCTATAACACACTGTAGGGGCAAGTGCTGTTAGTAGCAAGTAACAGCAGCACCTATGAAGGCCAACACTAGCAAACGAGGGGATGGGTGGCCAGCCGTCTTTGTCTGTTTACGATGTTTACTACACACCGCACTAGGTACTCATTTGAGGCTGAGTCGACCTGGGGGAGGCCCAGGCCCGGTTCAGAAAATCGCTATCACTAAGTGTTGGTGGCCGTGCGCATATACACGCACAGATACACACACATACACACAGACACAGACACGCACACAGACACAGACACGCACACAGACAGACACATGGTACACAGATACAAACACAGACAACAACAACAATTTCCATTCGCCACGAATTGGCCGTGACATCACCGCGGTGCTTGTGTAGCGCCATGAAGTGGTAACTTATCTGCAGTAGCAGACATACGTCAGCAGGGGGTGGTATGTGGGCCGCTAGGGTTCCCCAGACCCCATGAGGGTGGCTGGGGGAATATTCCAGGATCCCCGAGAACATTCTGGAAGGGAGGCGTGGCCAGGGGCGGAGAGACCATGGAGGGTTATAAAAGCCGGACCCTTGAACGGGTTCGGCAATCGTCCTCAAGCCGAAGACAGAAGACCGGGCTTAGAGTAGGACCCGCTGTCCTTCTAAGGGCCGGGACTGAGTTGGCCAGTGGCTGGGACCCGAGTACCTTGGCTGGAGCAGTTCAAATAATCGTCACTGGTTGTTGGCCATGAGCGGGAATCGAACTCGGACCACCGGGTTTGCAGCGAAGCGCGCTAACCGCTAGACTGCCGCTCCCCACACACACACACACATAGACACCAATACAAACACCAATACCCGCCATTCGCCACTAAGTGACGGTGACATCACCTCGGTGCCTGTGTCAGACCAGGTGCACTTTGAGGCCATGTGAAGTGTCGAAGCCTCGCTGGCAGAAGGTCTCGGGACAGACCCAGCAGGTGCCATGGGTTGGCTGACTGAGATAACCAGTAGATGCACCACCAGCTGTACCCCACACTGCGCCAAAGTTGCCGTATTTTAATCCGCCCAGGACTCCGCTCGTTGTTGTGAGTGTCCCTCCTCTGCCCTCCGTTTATGCTGGAGGGCGACTGCCTCCAACTGCCCAGTCACATCCTTCACGAGCCTTCTTCATAGAGGCCAATCTTGACACCGCTGGAACCAGTCATGGAAAAAGTCTACTCAGCTCCACATCCTCCCGTACCGCATCAGTCCATCTCTTCTCCAACCCATGTCGTGCAGTTTAGCCCTCTCTATGCGGCCAAACAGAAGCTGCTTGGGCATGCCGTTGCTGGGCATGCAGGCTACATGATCCAGCCAATGCAGCCTTGCCTACCCGAGGAGCCCACTTGTGGAAATGTGTCCACATCTTTCAAGGATTTGTGAGCTCCTCACACAATCCAGCCTGGTTAAACCGAGGATGTTTCGTAGGCATGCCAGCCTGAATATTTCTAACCAGTGCAGATGTTTCATTAGAGGGGTCCACGTTTCACAAGCATAGAAAAGGGAGGGCATGACTGTTGCCGAGGAGACCTGAAGCTTCATGCGGAGCGAGAGTCCAGGTAGCTTCCACACAGCATTGTGCAGCCGATGAACAGATAATGCCGCCCGACTGATTCGGAGTGAGACCTCTGCTGTGTAAACAGGAGCTGGTCATAAGCACACTGCCCAGGTATGGGAAATTCTCCACTCTTTGCACAACTGCTCCATCACACAAAATACCCATGCTTAGTTTTGGTGGGGCTGATGGTAAGGCCCCACCTCTTAGTCGCACACTTCAGGTTCAACAACAGCGCCTCCAACTCCTGTTCTGAGTGAGCAGAAAATCACCAACATACATAGACACATACACAGCCATACTCACAGACACATACAGGGAAACACACAGAGATACAGAGAAACGGCGACACACCCAGACACACACAACCCTGCGTGCGTTTCTTTTCAAACAGGAGGAGGCAAGACGGCGGCCATTGTGGTGGCCGTGGTTTTGCTGCTTCTCATTATCGCTGCTGGCGCTGCTGCGCTCATTCACAAGAAGAAGCGGCGGAAATTTCCACGCGGTAAGGCAGCGAGCATCTTCACTTCTCCCGCCTTGCACCTGTAAACTAGAATCTTTATTTATTCACATATTGTAGGAGGAGATAATCCCAAGAGCCGTGGAGCTCCTCATTGACCTCATGTCCAGTTTGTGCACGGCGTCAGAAAGTTGAGAATCAGAATATTTTTTTATATACTGAAGCTCTTAATTCACTCATGGTCCAGTAAGGGGGCGTGAGGTCATAAAGTTCAGAACCTAGTTATTTATTTATATTGATACAACTGGAGGAAATCTGATGATCTATGAAGCTCTTCTGTTTCCCACAGATGGCGCCAGAAAGTTTTTCACCAGACCAGGTAAAAGCGTGACAGAATGTGACCACCGCTGGACTTGTCTGCTGCTATAAATGTCTACACGACGGTGGATGAGCCCACTTGGTTGATCTGCTCTCTTTTACGATGGCCAGGTCATCATTAGAACTCCTTTGCCAGTACGAAAATATAATAATAGGGTTTTTCCCCTTTTTTCTGGCAACAAAACTGAAACCTTTTTACAATGATTCCTATCTGCATTAACCACAATACCTGCAGTCAAAATGCAAACAAAAAACAACATACACTATGATAATATATGACGCCTTTTGGCGTCATCTGGTCGATCACCAATTGGGTCGAGGCTCAAAAGAAAGCCGTCCCTTGGTGTGGACCAATAAGTTTCAAGGACAATTCCAATATATTATCATAGTATGTTTTTTGTTTGCATTTTGACTGCAGGTTTCAGTTTTGTTGCCAGAAAAAAGGGGAAAAACCACTATTATTATTATTATATGATGGCCAGGTCGCTTCTAAAAAAATAGCTCAGAAGCGTCTCTGTCTCACGTGGTAGTCACGTGGCTGTTTCTCTCCACGTTTAGAATCAACGGCACGCATTTAAGAGTATTGGGCTGCTGCTATACGTATCTAGGCAATGATGATGATGATGGTAATCAGCTACTTTGTTAAGCCGATATCATTCGTGATGGCCAGGTTGCTTCTAAAAAGAGCTACATGGCTCAGTGGGGCCTTACCCGGTAAAATAAAAAAGTTTCCTTTTCGTAAAAATGAAGTATCCCAAACATCCTCGGTGGTGTGAACGGGTAGTATCCGGGCTGCACACCCTTTTTAAACATTTTGCCTGCATTCATTACATTTATTATCTTGTCTTGTTCAACCTCCAGACGGCGAGCCTGGTAACTCTGATCAGCCCGGATCGACTGCATCGCCTCTACTTATGAAGAATAAACAAAACCCTGAGGCTGGACCTTCCAAAGGTCAAAATGAACAGAAAATCCCTATTATAAACATTTCATCGTTTGGAAATGATAGCAAACCCCCCCCCCCCCCCCCCCCCCCCCCCCCCCCCCCCCCAATCGATACAAATTAAGATTTTAAATTTTATTATGTTGAAGTTATAAAAATGTAACACTTACCCAGCTGCATGTCCTCAGGCCCCCAGCCGTCTCACCAAGCAACAACAACAGATGCCATTCGCCACTACGGGGCACCACGGTGGCTAGGAGATGTTAACTCCCTTGGATGGTGGACAGGAGGTCGTGGGTTCGATCCTGACCCTGTGAGATGTTAACTACCTCGCCTGGTGTACAGGAGGTCGTGGGTTCGATCCAGACCCTGACGCCTGCTGCATATTTGGAAGTTTGCGTCGTCTCTTTCTCTCTCCCCAGGTCCTTGGGTTTTTCCCATCCACATTTAGAATCAACATCACCACCCATTGAGATTATATGGACGATTTTGCTGATATAAATGTCCAAATGATATCGGATATTGTGTTGAGCTGCTATCATCTGTGATAGGCCAGGTCGCTTGTAAAAAAAATTGTTAATGTCCTCAGTGGGGCTTTGCCTGGTAGGATTGGTGCATGGTTTAGTGTTGTGTATTTGTCTTTGTCTTTGTTTACCTTTCTTGTACTTTGTACTCCAATCGTGTATTTTGGACTGTTTGTTGTTCTAACATTCTGATACCGTGACCTTCTTACTGGACCGTCTGTGATCAAAGAGCTTCATAGCTCATCAGATGCCTCCTGCGGAATGCAATTCAACATTCTGATTCTCGTGTTTATTTTACACTTAAACTTTGCAGATTCAATCGAAGTAAAATTCATCAAAGACAACCGCGCCGAGATCGTCCGCCTTGTCTGCGACGATCCGGGCAGCTTGCTGGACGAGGTGGAAGCGCTGGGATACGCAGATGTGCACAGCACAGCCATTGCTCAGACAAATAAGGTAACTTGCAATTCAACACGATGCCTGTTGTGCAGTGTGTAGTGTATAGTGGTGTAGTGTATAGTGTAGTGTATAGTAGTGTAGTGTATAGTAGGGTAGTGTATAGTGGTGTATAGTGGTGTAGTGTATAGTGGTGTAGTGTATAGTAGTGTAGTGTATAATGGTGTATAGTAGTGTAGTGTATAGTGGTGTAGTGTATGGTATTGTAGTGTATAATGGTGTATAGTAGTGTAGTGTATAGTGGTGTAGTGTATGGTATTGTAGTGTATAGTAGTGTATGGTGTAGTGTATAGTGGTGTAGTGTATTGTTGTGTATAGTCGTTAGTGTATTGTGCTATAGTGTATCGTAGTGTAGCATATAGTAATGTAGTTCGTAGCAGTGTAGAGGAGTAGTGGGATGACGTCATGTCATCTGTAGAGGAGCGGGGTGACGTGATGTGATGACGTCATGTCATCGAGGCGGCGGGCTACTTAAGGGGGACCCTGGGACGAGGGTGGGGTCGCCGTGGGGAGAGCGAGGTGGTCGCCATAGGGGAGTGAGATTGAGGGGAACCAGAGCCTGCGTGGAAGTCATCCCAGCCGCCGCCGAAGAAGGGCTAGAGATGTAGAGGTCTCACCTCGTCGCCCGGCGGTGATGGGTGAGCCCCCGCCCGGGGCAGACGAGGTGATAGGCATAAGGGAAGCCGTACCGGGGCGTAGATAGCTGAGAGATGTCTGCGTGGAGGACAGAGTTCTGACGTCCGCCGTGACGGGTGTAAGCGTCGAGTGTAGAGAATGTAAATAGAGTGTGCTAGAGTGTGACAAAAACGTCAAGCAGCCCTATGTAAGAATCTTCGTCTCCGTCTGGCTCTGCATATCTTCTGGGTGTCAAGAGTTACTACAGAACAGTAGTGTAGAGTATAGTTGTGTATAGTGTTGTGTATAGTAGTTAGTGTATAGTGCTATAATGTATCGTAGTGTGGTATATATTGGAAAAGTGTATAGTAGCATAGTATACAGTAGTAAAGTTCATATTAGTGTATTGTATAGTGTAGTGTATAGTAGTGTAGTGTATAGTGATGTAGTGTATAGTGGTGTAGTGTATAGTAGTGTATTGTCTAGTGTATAGTAGTGTTTAGTGGTATAGTGTATGGTAGTGTAGTGTATAGTAGTGTAGTGTATAGTGATGTAGTGTATAGTGGTGTAGTGTATAGTAGTGTAGTGTATTGGCTAGTGTATAGTAGTGTATAGTGGTATAGTGTATGGTAGTGTAGTGTATTGTCTAGTGTATAGTAGTGTATAGTGTATGGTAGTGTAGTGTATAGTAGTGTAGTGTATTGTCTAGTGTATAGTAGTGTATAGTGGTATAGTGTATGGTAGTGTAGTGTATAGTGTAGTGTATAGTAGTGTATAATGTGGAGGGAAAATAATCGGAGGACCCAGAGAAAATCCACGCAGTGACCACCATGGAAAGTGAGAGGCAGATAGAGAGAGACAGACTCTAAATATACAGCAGCAGGCATCGTCAAGGTCACGGGATCGAAAAACCCCTGACTTCCTGCGTACTATGCGAGGGACATCACATCTCCTAGCCACCACGGCACCACGGAGACAAAGATAGACACACACAGAAACAACAAGCGGTAATGTCACCCTGGTGCTTGTGCCAGAATAAGTGCACTTTAAGGCCACGTGAAGCGTCAAATGCCCGCTGGCAGGAGTTCATGAGACAGAACCAGGTGCCATGGTTTGACTGCCTGAGATGGCTGGCAAATGAACCACCTGTACCCCCTATTGTGCTAACTTCCCGAATTTTAGCAACCCGGTGCTCCGCTCGTTGTTGTGAGTGTCACTGCCTCCAACTGCTCAATAGCATCCTCAGCCATAGAGGCCGAACTTGATACCGCTGGTACCAGCCTTCAGCAAGTCTACTCAGTTCCACATCCTCCCGTACCGCATCAGTCCATCTCTTCTCGAGCCCGTGTCATTTCCGTTGAGCCCCCTCTATATGGCCAAACAGAAGCTCCTTGTGCATGCGGTGGCTGGGCATGCTGGCTACATGACGCAGCCAACGCAGCCTTGCCTGCCAAAGAAGCTCAGTGATGGGAATGTGTTCACATCTTTCAATGATTCGTGAGCTCCTCACACAATCCAGCTTGCACGTCGGCAGGCTAGCCTGAATGTTTCTAACCGGCGCAGATGTTCCATTAGAGGAGTCCACGTGTCACAAGTATAAAGAAGGGAGGGCGTGACCATGGCCAAGAAGACCCAAAGCTTCGTGTAGAGCAGGGGTCGGGAACCTTTTTGACTAAGAGAGCCATGAAAGCAAAAAATTTGGAAATTTATTTCAGTGAGAGCCATATAATATATTTTAAAAGTGAATTCAACTAAATGTCAGTATAATAAGCCTCTGAATTTATTCTTTTAAATAATGTTGTTATAACACTCACCATTAATGCGACTTCTGGTGCTGCATGGATTTGCTGATGTCTTTGTAGTCGGGTTGGTACTTTGTAGTCGGGTTGGTACTTGGTGAGGTTAAGCTTCATGCAAGCGTTGAGGCTTTCATCCGTTAAACGTGATCGTAGGTTGGACTTGATGTTTTTAAGATGTGAGAATGACTGCTCACATGCATACGTAGATCCAAACATGGTCAATACAGCAATACTCACACGCTGCAGTGTGTGGTATGTGACAGGAAGCGCGTTCCAAGTTTTGAGAATCAGCTGGTCTTCGGGTTGGAGTTTTTTCATTTCTGTCCACATGTGCTTGCTCGCCAACTCCGCTTTCTGTCGTGTGATTCTTTCCAAATCTTCATTCAGTGACTTGAACTTATTCACCCACATGTCTGAGGCCTTCAGGTCAGCCACTTCTGCTTCAAAATCTCTGACGGAGACACCAGGGATGTAATTCAGGTCGGCTGTGTTCAGTGAACACTCGTTTGGATGGGTGATGAACTTAAAAAGACGAGTGTGCTCACGAAATTCTCCAAAGCGTGCTTTGAAGGACTGTAGGAGACTGGATGTGCAGCCAGCTAGCTGGTGGAGATCAAGGTTTTGAATGGGCTCACTTGCTGTGCATGCATCTTTAAATTGGCTCAGTTTTTCAAAATGTAGTAAACGACCTGTTTCAAGATCCGTGATGAAAAGCTCCAGCTTGTTTTCAAAAGCAAATACAGCTTGTTGAAGGGATAACACTGTATTTCCAATGCCTTGCATTTTCACGTTGAGCTGGTTCAGATGTTCAGTCAGATCTACGAGATAGTAAAACTTGAGGAGCCACTCGGTGTCGGCTAGCTCAGGATGCCCGATGCCTTTCATTTCAAGGAAAGTCCGGATTTCGTTCAGGCAAGCCGCAAAACGGCTAAGCACCTTCCCTCTTGACAACCAACGCACATTGCTGTGCAAAAGCAGACCAGGATAGTTATTTACAACTTCATCCAGCAGTGTTTTAAACTGGCGATCATTTAAGGCTCGGGCAACAATAAAGTTGATCACACGAATGACCAGCGACATCACTTCGCCAAACTGCCTGTCACACATCTGAGCACAAAGTGCCTCCTGGTGTATAATGCAATGGAAACTTAGGATGGGTCTATTTTCATGTTCACGGAGAAGCGCCACAAATCCTTTGTTTTTCCCCACCATACACGGAGCACCATCAGTACACACTGAGAGAAGTTTATCCATAGGTAGACTTTTTTCTTGAGCAAACTCCATGAAAGACTTGAATAAATCCTCACCTCTTGTGGACCCTTTTAATGGCAGAACAGCAAGACTTTCTTCGCGCAGTGTGTCACCAACAGCATATCTTGCAATCACGCTGAACTGCGACAAATGGCTCACGTCTGTTGACTCATCCAAAGCCAGAGAAAAGAACGGCGCTGCATTTATGTCCTTCACTTGCGTTTCCTCCACTTTGTTTGCCATCACGATGGTACGATCATGAACAGTTCTTGCCGACAGAGGCATGTCTTGTATCCGTTTGATTATCTTGTCTTTGTTCGGAAGATCATCAAAAAGTTCATTGGCTACATCCAGCATGAACGTTTTAGCATACTCGCCATCTGTGAATGGTTTTCCGTTCCTCACTATTGCTAAAGAACCAGCAAAGCTAGCCGAATTATAGTCAACTTGCCGGGTCCATACGCGGAGTTGCTGCTGGCTAGCTTGCACCCTGCTCAGAAGCTCTTGGCACGCTTTCTTTCTGCTGTCTCCCGCAGGGTATTTTGATGCAAAGGTAGCGTGGCGCGTGTCGAAGTGCCGCTTTACATTCGACCGTTTCAACGATGTAATTTTGTCATTGCAAATTAGACACACCGCAGAACCCGCTCTCTCCACAAAGGCGAATTCTTCGGTCCATTCGTCCTGAAATGTACGATACTCGTCGTCTTTTTTTCTTTTCGCCATCTTCTTCGTCGAAGGGTTAGCTTTGAGCTAATGACCGAGCAGACGCAGTCTCAGACTGATTCAAAAGGGGGTGTTTACCTGTTTTACCCAGCAACGGCAAACGTAGGCCAGTATCATCCAATTAAAATAATGGACAATTGCTCCTGCAGCCCTGAACAGGACATGCGCAGTGAAAAATCGATGGATGGATTAAAACAAGTGAGAATATTTTGTTTTATCTGCGAGCCATATGCAATCATCAAAAGAGCCACATCTGGCTCGCGAGCCATAGGTTCCCGACCCCTGGTGTAGAGTGACAAACCAGGTAGTATTACGCAGCCGATGAAAAGATAATGCCACCCGACTGATTCGGAGTGAGACCTCTGCTGTCAAACCAGAGCTGGTCATGAGCACCCTGCCCAGGCATGGGAAACTCTCCACTCTTTCCAAAACTGTTTCATAACCAATGGGGAGTTGAGGGGGTAGAGTGTCTGATGCTACAAAATACCCAGGCAAGTGCTTAGTTTTGGTGGGGCTGATGGTAAGGCCCCACCTCTTAGTGGGACGCTCCAGGTTCAGCAGCAGGGGTTCCAACTCCTCCTCTGAGTGAGCAGCAGTCACCAAATCATCGGCATACATAACGTGGTTGAGCAATAGGGAGCCATCCCTTGACTGCACCCAAGCATTGATCAGCTGCCCATTCTATCTTTACCAGATGCAATTTCCTCCAGTACAGCCATGGAGTCGACTGGTTTTACGTAAGTAGTGAGTTGGGCTAAGGGGGTGGCATCCTTATGCTGGAAGGGATTTTTGTAGGAGTTCTGATTTTTCGCCCCCAATTCAGACCATGCCCTACGCATTCGCGAATATTTTCTTCCACATTAATTGGCCGGTGGATGGGTGGGGGGGTTTCTTCAGTCCACGATAGATATTGTCCCAGAGCTCGCCGCTCTGATCAATCCGCGATTTATCTCGAGCCGTTGCCTATCTTGGCGACCGTGTTCGAGTGATCTCCCACCACAGAAACATACCGTGGTCGTCGAGAATACAAGCCTTTTTTGTTATTGCATTCACGACGTAGTTAGTTGTGCAACGTGAGAATGTGCAGCAGCCCTCCTTGTGTTCCCACTGCTGGACGATGGCCTCCTGTGGCCGTGTGGATCATGGGGGGGGGGGGGGACTAGGTCAGTGGTTCTTCTTCTTCTTAACCTAGGATGCAGCTCGCACCCCCTTGGGGTTCTGGAGATGCCCTTTCTGGGGGGTGGCGAGGAGACATGGCCAGGTTTTTTTAGAAGGTAAGTCAATGCAATTGTTTAAACGATTGAGAACCAAAGGGGGTGAAAGGCTGCAGTAAAGGTTAGGATCCACTGGACTGGACCGCGCTTTACGTGGCTGGTTAACGTGGCCTCTTTGTTTCCAGGCGGGCGGCAAAGAAACAAAAATGTAAAACTTCTCTCCTGCTACTCCACCGCCGCCACAATGGGCAAAGCAGTCCCCACGACCACAAACAGCTGACTGTGAATTGTTCGGCGGTGGCCACGCTCGGCGTGCGTGTAAACATTCGTGCATTGTGCCGTGATTGTTATTGCCGCTAAGAAGAAAAGGTGCAATATAAAGTGGTTATGCATTTTGTTAAAACGTTGGCACGAGGTTTGCTTATTTTCACAAACGTACCTACAATGTGACAACCACCACCATCCATGATGAACGATGTATTTCGTAATAAACGACAATCGCATTCAATTTAGGCTCTCTCACATGGTGTCTGGATGAACTGACATGTTTGCTGGACTTTCATTCTGGGCACCTTTGAACTACTTCACGGTACAAAATGAAGACGAGAATGTCACGCTAGACTACAGTCGATGGTGAACGGTAGCAATGCTTGCGTTTAAATGAAAAGATGTCAGCCGCAAGAGACGAGGCTTTGAAAAAACGCTTGGCACGCTCTCCCTTTGCTTCTGTCTCACTTTCAGGTTGGCATCATGACGTCCCCGTGTACGCTGCACATCATTGGCGGCCAAGGTGGAAACACGTTCTCGTTTGACGGGCAGGAGAATGCGGCGACGCTGCAGAAGCTCTCCGTGAGCGTTGGGGGCTGGCAGGTGAGGGGCGTGGAGGTGTGGCTGACGGACGGGCGCAGGGAGACATTCGGCACCATGGACTCCTCCGCTCAGGAGTTCGAATTCGAGTCGGGCGAGTTCATCACGAGCCTCTCGCTCTGGAGCAACGGGGATGGCACTCGCCTGGGCGCCATCAAGTTCAGAACGAGCCGCAGCCGCGAGTTCTTTGCCAAGATGACGGACTGGGGGCTCAAGACCGAGTACAAGATCGACGTGGGCTCTGGCATCTGCTTGGGCGTTCAGGGCCGAGCGGGGTCCGACATTGACTCCATGGGCTTCCTCTTCATCAATGCCATAAAGTCGTCGGTGATCCAGGACATGAAGTACCCGACCATGCACCAGGTCCTGCCCAACGTGCAGATGGAGGAGATTAATAAAATGGAGTACAAGAACGACACCAGCGTCGTGCAGTCGTACACCTTCGAGAGCTCCAAGAAGATCAACAAAACGTCATCCTGGTCCACCACCAACAAGATCGAGTCCACCTTCAGCCTGACGGTGAACGCCGGTATTCCCAAGATCGTGGAGGCAGGGGGCGGGTTCAGCTTCGCCGAGGGCAGTGAGAGCACACACAAGGTGGAGGAGTCCAAGGAGGAAACTGAAACGCTCACGTTCCCAGTCTCTGTTCCGCCCCACAAGACCATCAACGTGGTCGCCAACATCGGGCACGCCAAAGTCGACCTTCCGTACACGGCCCTGCTGCGTATCACCTGCGTGAACGGCGCATCCCTTGATGCTCCCCTGAGCGGTGTCTACAAGGGGCTTACCTACACCAAGATGACGACCGTCGCTACTGAGAGCTAGAGCGGCGTTTTCCAGCATCTTTGTTTTGGTGATGTTTATGAAGTGTTTTAAAGGAATATTTTTTGGCTGCGGAAAATCTTATTACCTATATAAGTATGTTTTTGTCTGTCTGTGTGTCTGTCTGTCCGTCTGTCTGTCTATCTGCACGGGTACCTTGTCACCTTTTTAACTGACAAACTGTGGGGTTTACGTATTGATAAAGTGCACGGATACCACGCTGCAAGGCCGTAGCCATGGAGTCAACATTGGGGGGGTACCAAATCTACCAGGGGGTCTGGGGGTCCCCCCCCCCAGAAAAAATCTAAATTTTTTAACGAATTTCCTGCCTAAAATATGTAAAAATTCACTTACACATGGGATGGATTTTTTATTTATTTTTCACAATAATGTCTAATAGTGTATTGTATTACATTGCTCTGTTTTTTCTTTTTTACCTTTTCTTGATTCATTTTATGTAATGGCAGAGATTAAGGATGAATAAAGTATAACAATAACCACAATCATATAAACATAAATCTATGCCATTGTTATATGAAGACAAGTCCGGATATTGTGGCCAAGGTTTAGCAAATTGTTGCTTTTATGGACAAAATGGCATTGATGTTATTTCCGACACAATTTATTTGACGATTGTATTGCCCACCAACTTCAAAATTTAGTTTTGCATTTGGGAACTGGTCAAATCAAAGTGACCTTTCAGCCAGGTGGTCAGCTCTGCATCGCCCTCTGCCCTGTACTTTAGAAGCTGGCTGAAATTTTCACTCTCCTTATCAACGCCTCGAAAAGCCAGACCTTGCCCATGCCAAGTACTTCACACCCCCGACAATCTTCATAAGATTTCTCCTCGCTTGTTGCTGCTGTCTTTCAAGCTCACGTGAAAGTTGCACATTAACAGGTTTCGGCTCCTGAATCCGAGTCATCGCAGCTAATTTGTGACACTGGCTGTCTTCATGCGCACTAAATTTCTCCAGTGCCTTCCTCCAATTTTGAAAGCCATCCTTGACAAAAGCTCTGCTTTTGACGCAAGCTTAGACTTTTGTGTTGCAAAGTATTTTGCACAATAGAAACAGAGGACCCCTTTAAGGAAGGGCTGTAATGAAGCCAAGCATGATCTTTAAACCATTTCTCCTAGTGGAGTGTCCTATGTGATAGGGTTTGACTAGGTATGGCAAGGTCCAAGCTCCTCCCCTCCCTCTCCTCCACCTTCATCTTTGCTTGCCTGTCTGCTCTCTCTCTCTCTGTCATTGTCTCAAACTCACTCTCCCTACTTGAGTGTGTAATGTAGCTCTCAGAGACACCGTCTTGCCTTCTGTATATTTATTATGAATAAAGTCCACTGACAACTCAACGAGTAACCGCGAGTGACTCTGTACACTTTGGTAGTTAGACAACTCTACTCAGAGACAACACAGCACTCGTCTCAAGGCAACTCGCAGATGATGGAGACGACCCGTTCCAAGATGACAACGACGACGACGATGACGATTCCCCACGCCAACAACCACCAGCTCCAGCTTGTGCCAGGCTCTTAATCCTCGCCCCGTCCGGCCACGCCTCTATTCTCGAATCCTCCTCACTGCACCTGCTCTTGTCAATCACCGCCCTAATTACACTTCCCCCCTGCCATTGGATCCCGTGCTCCCCCTCACGTGACCCTGTCAACGTTTGTCTCATCAGTCATCATTAGCACGCCCATGAGTAACTGTGGTCCCGAGGAACCATACTGTCCCGCTGTTGCTCCGTTCTGTCTTTACAATTGTATTATCTGAAATACACATGAAAAACCATACTTAGAGTAATATCTCAGCTTAAATTAACATTAGGATTAGACTGTTGTGATGTCATTATTCGGTCTTAACCATCAATATTTGCTCTTTTTCTTACTCACCTCCATGTCACCTGCTCTCCATGCCCTGTCGGCATCCTCATGCTCTCTCTCTCTCGCCCTCGCTCTCAATACTCTGAATGCACCAGAGTGAACATGAAATCAATATTATCAGTAAACAAGTGATGTTTCTTGCCATGATGTTCAGGAATTAATTAATAACCATTTCTGATCTGAATGGTAATTCTTATTATATCGAGAAACATTGACGCATCTCTTGTACCGCTGTATACTTCTATCATCTGACTGGTACTCATTCTTTCACTGCTCTCAACTTACTTTTTCTCTTTTCTGAGGCTGCCCAAAAAACTGTCGAATGTCACTGCCACCTTTGCTCTTGCTCATGATGACAGTCACTGTGAATTAATGCTGACTGTAATAAAACTGCTTGCGCTTTAATCAAAGAAACACTAATAATGCTATTCATCAAAAGTAAGTACAGCTATACACTATACTATACGAATATGCAATAAATGAAAGCTACTACTGTCTACAAATATGACACGTGCAGCGCAACATAAATTATTAACACTTTACTCAGACTTCACGTGGGGTTTCTGACAAATATGTTATAAAGACGTTAACCTTAGTTGAATACGCCCGTGAGCGCCATTGTTGGTCGCTGGGTGAATGTGTGGCTAATTAACTTTCCAAGTAACTTTCCAAATGGTTGATTAATTAGCAATCGCAAAGCAGCCCGTTTTCACAAAAAAAGCTTGTTTTCACTCTACAGTGATATAGCCTACGTAACACTCATTACATTCTAGTTTTCCAATTTTTAGTAAATTTTTAAGTAATGAAATGGAGAGACAGGACGAGAGGCCGACCGAAATTCGGTTTCGGTGCCGAAAGTTGGCAAATGGCCACTTTCGGCATAGTTTCTGTTTCGGCCGAAAGTCAATTTGTAACTTTCGGTCTTGTTTCGGTTTCGGCCGAAACTGATATTGACTTTCCGTCGTCAACCGAAGATTTATTTTTAGAATATAACGCCTAGTGCTACGTCTATCAGCCGGTCAGTCGGCGCTAGACAATCCTATGCAATAGGCTGCACACACACACACGTACACACATACACACACAGGTACACACATACACACACGTCAGCAGCAGCAGCTTGCGAGCGAGGTTACAGCCGCAACCAATGGTCTGGCCCGTCCATAAATGACGTCACGCACCTGGGGGGGGCAGTGACTGCGTAGCGCTACGCTGCGCTACGAACCCGGCGGCCCGAGTTCGATTCCCGCTCACGGCCGGTGACGATTATTTGAACCGGTCCTGGGCCTCCCCTGGGTCGACTCAGCCTCAAACGAGTACTTGGTGTGGTACGTCAACATCGTTAAAGGCAGCCGGCCGTGGTGAATCCAAGTCCCGGGCCAAGCCGGGTAGTAAAGCTAGTATTTCATAAATCTTGTGTAACTTCGGCTATATACCTTTCTGTTTCGGTCTCGGTCGAAAGTGGAGTTAAACTTTCGATTTCGGTTTCGGCCGAAAGTAAATTTTTAACCTTCGGTTTCTGGTTTCGCTTTCGGCCGACACCAGAAATTCAGTTTCGGTCGGCCTCTAGACAGGACAGTGTGTGACATTGATTGTACCTACCCACAGCAGTCGAGCAACGGCTTCTGCTGGGGTACTGCAACACCGCTTGGACAAACCACACGCAGAACTGCAGTACACCGTAATACTAGAACTGATAGCTATAATAATGGCAATTTGTTAAGTTTAGTCATGATCATGATTACATTTGCTCATGATTATTTCGGGCGGCGGTGCGTAGCATTAGATATTATAATTGCTGCCTTGCCACGCTGTATGCCCCAGGACGAAAAATCGATATTCGTATTTCACATCTGTCAACTTTAAAGTAGTTAAATTCACAACTTAGTCCTTTTATAAGAACAAGGTGGCGCCAGAGCACGCATCTGCGCATGTGCAAGAACGCCGACTCGTGGTGGTGATGGTTGCCCCTAGCAACACACACACGTGATCGGTAGGGGGAGGGGTAAATTCTCATTCGCGTGAAAATGCTAAAAACAATACACAACGCTGCGGTAAATTCTTCACAGTGTGTGATGTCCTCTTCTCCCCAATGTGTGCACTTACTACTATAGGGTCGGTAGATACTACTATTATAGCCCTTAGATACTATATTCTTGGTTCTTTCGGTAAAGTCACGTAGGAATAAATTAAATAATAATAGAATACGACGTTTCGATTTCAACACAAGCAATCGTCATCAGGTACGAATGAATGAGAAAAACAAATCTAGTATAGTAAGAAGTATAATGCAATACAACACGGAGAGACGGCTAACATAACAGTCACCACTCTACCTGGTTGATTACGTTCTTCAAAAGATTGCTAAATTTGAGACGGAGACAAAACACTGACACGGAGAGACACACACATAGACGCACAAGCAGAGAGAGACAATACAGACACACAACATAGACACAGACACAGATAGACACACAAGCAAAGAGAGACAACAACAACAACCGCCATTCACCACTAAGTGGCGGTGACGTCACCACGACGCTTGTGCCAGGCTAGAAAGAGACACACACACACAGAGACACACACAGAGACACACACATAGACTGTAACGCCACAGCGGCGAAGCCGCTCCGTCGAGACCGGGGCCGTCGCCATGCTGCTACAGCCGAGGAGCCACCCGGCTCCCGTCACAGCGTTCCCCCCACCACCCCCCACATCAACACACACATGCCCTCACGTAGGGCCTCGTGGGGGGTTGGGGTCGCCTGCCCCTGAGTTTTTACCCGAGAGACCCCCTCGCGGGGGTGCTCCACGGTTTCTCAGGGCCCGGGAATTGGCAGAACCCCTCCCAGGCCGAATGACACTGCGGCGCCGTGGAGTGACTTAACATTGTATGGCCACGGCGAACTCGCTGAGAACCGCATTGAGGGAATGCCCAAGGCGCCCGCGGACCAGCAGGCAGCTGGGGAGCGGGACGGCGCAGGCTGATGCCCATGACGCGGCACCGGCTGCCCTTTGGGATGGGTACGCGACACGCGCAGGGACCTCGCCGTGGCGCAACGGGGGGTGGGGCGGTGCAGGAGGACGAGGACATCGAGCACTCGGACGCCCAATGGAGGGGGGGGGGGGGCGGGGCGTCAGAGGCGAGGCTGCCGATTGGATAAGGGGCAAGCGGGGCGGCGGCACGTAGGCTCTGAAGCTGGGGATATAAAAAGGGGTGGAATTGGGAAGCAGGGGGATCTTTTCGCTGGGGATCAGCTGGAGAGAGGGATCGGAGGAGTCGTCATCTCGCTGTTACTCGCACGTCCGTGAGACGGGTCAGAGAGCAGCCAGATTCAGTTCCCAGCCAACGCCACGTACAGCATCATCTTTCCGCGACCTCTAACACTGCGAGGTCGGACCGTAAGTACGAGGAGGAGGAGGAGAGGTAAGGCAAGGGGAGAAATTCCGAGAGAGAGAGAGAGGGAGAATAGCGAGCGGACAGGCCAATTGAGCATCAGACCGTAGAGAGATAGGTTAGACCTGTCCTGCTGGCACGCACTGACACGCGTAGTTGAGTTTGTTTATTCGTCAGTAGAGTATA